GACCCACACCCAGTTTCACACCTTGGCTCATGTGATTAGGTAGAGGATCATCAGGGGGTCCTTTGTCCCTCTTTGGGGGTGAAACTCCCACTGGGTTTATATCTGTTACTCTCCACCATTTGACCTTAGAACTGAAGAAGCTTCTTGGATGAGAGGTGAAACGTCTTCAAGTAACTTAAAGAAGTCCAGACACTTTTCTTTCCAAGCTCCTTAGACTACGACGACCTGGATGACTGAGAACCTTCACAGACAGTTTGTTTTAGATGAATACAACATTCTGGATAAATTCCAATCTGGCTTTCGTAGAGCTCACTCTACTGAAACTGCACTTCTTAGAGTCTCCAATGACATTTTGATGAGATGTGATGCAGGAGATGCTCCGTTCTGTTGATGTTGGACCTGACCTCTGCCTTTGATACTGTGGACCATCATATTCTGCTAGATAGACTGAGACACTGGGTCAGGGTCTGCTTTGGACTCATTCAAATCCTATTTGCATGAACGATCCTTTTCTGTGGCTACCTCTAAGTACAGTTCTTCTACTTTTGTTGCCAATGGTGTGCCACAAGGTTCAGTTTTGGGGCCTTTATTGTTTTTGTTGTATTTACTCCTCTTCAGCACTTATTGAGCACTTTTAAGGACATTTCATATCACTACTATGCAGATGATATTCAGCTGTATATTTCCTTTAAGCCCCAAGATGTTTCCAAGCTACAGATTTTGCTAAAAAAAAAAAACAGCTGAAAACTCATCTTTTTAAACCTGTTTTGGTTGATTTTTATTTTTATGTTTTAGCTTCTATGTAGCACTTTGTGATTTTTATCTTGAAAGGTGCAATATAAATAATTTTTTTTTACTTCTATACATTGTATGCATAATATGTCTGAAAAGCAGTCCCAGTACCTGCAGGGATAGGAATCCTTTTTCCTTTAACAGCTTTTCATATGTTTAGTTTAGGCACGTGAGAGACTTTTTGTTTGTTTGTTTATTTAATGGTTGTTTTTTTGGCACACCTGTCCCAATGTTGTTCTACCTTTAAATGATCAAATCTGTTTGAACTACAAAATCTCACAATAGTACTGGTCTTTGCTTGGGAACAGGAGAGTCACATGTGTGCTCCACTCTGTACTGGTTGGGGAGCACTGCTGCCTTAAACTTTGACCTCAGAGTGATGTGACATTTGTTCACACAACCAATAGAAATGCAGAATGTCCCAGGTCGGGCATAATGACATAAATAAACCGGTGGGGGTCCATGAGTCTTTTGGTACCAGGCTGCGAGAGTTGAGGCTCGGGTGTGAAATTTATGGTTTTCAGGGTTTTTATCACAGTTTAGCATAATTTTTGTTTTTTCGTTAACTTGGTTTCCCTGGTTCTTTTTCTGTGTGTTATGAATAAATCTTTTTTTTTGGTACCGGTACTGGTTTTGTTTTGTTGTATTTATCCACAACACGCCGGTCCATTATGCAAAAAAGGTTACAATAATGGAAGAAGCTCGCTTCTGCAAAATGTTCACCTCTCAAAGTGAGAGAAACGGTGCCTGAAATGAAAATCAGACTGTTCTTCAAACGTTCATTCGGTAACAAAGTAATATTTCCAACTTTAGCACATATTAATCAGACTATTAGAAGTGTTCGAACTCTAAAGAGAATTGGTAAAAGACTTGGGCTGTTTAGAAGGAAGATGCAGTCAGACTAGCCTTTGTCCAACAAGAGAAATGGACCAATGGACAGATGCAGCGATGTATTCATTTCCAGAGGATGGACTGAACCCTATTTTTGTGGATGAGATCACTGTGCGTATAGAAGAGTGTACGCCAAAAGGTCAATATGCCTGCAATGAAACAGTCTTTGTTGTCTGCTTATGGTAGAACATGAATGAGATGCCCCAGGAGATCCACTTGTTGCTGCTGATCTGTATATTAGGTTAAGAGGAGAAATACTGCAAAGTATTTAAGAAATTTCAGTGTCTAAAAGTCCAAATAAAAAAAATACTGTTTATCTTGACCATGTGATAATATATAGATACCCTATATGCAGGTATTTCTGCATTGCAGTTAATGAAAGACATCTTTTGGGTTTTTTCATGTCATTCTGTCAGAATAAGGCCATTCATTACTGCTATGATATAAATTCAGAGTGCTGATAGGTCAGATTAGTCTTCCAACTAGTATCAGTTTATGTTGGCCATAGTAGAAAAATACATTTTCTATTTTCCCCCAGTTCAATTGTTTTCTACCTGCACACTGCCATTAAAGCATAAATGCTGACGTTGCTTGACGAAGCTGAATATTGTGACTATATTGAAACAAAGCTCTTATAATCATTTACCCATGTGAATATCCAGTTCAGTTTCAGAGTACCAAAGTAATAACCACTTAATATCAAAGTAATGTCATGGTAACAACCATGGTTACAGTTGAGTAAGATTACACTGAAATTTATGTAATTGCATAATAAGGGTCCCAAAGCTGGGAGCTGTATTAAGTGCTAATAGCAGGATAATGAGGAAGAGGGTCAGGGTTAGCTGTCTCTATTTAATAACATATTAATAACCTATTAAAGCAAACTTAGATTATTACCTGGAAACACCTGTGGTAGTTCCCAGGTAATAAGCATAAACAGAAACAGCCTGCAAAGAGCTGGCTGCCAGTAGGTGGCAGACTGGTGCCTACTCTGAGTCTGAACTTTCTATTTTATCCCTGGATAAAGACAAAGAAGAAGTGGGGTGCCAACAGCTGACTTTAAGCACTTTTCCCTTCATTTTTGGCTTGCCTCGTAGATCCATGGTTCCATAAACAAGTGGGTTATAAAAATACATTTGGAATCAACAAATATTCTAGCTACTGTTCCTTAAGTTATATTTAGGATCACTTACACACATCTGGTCTGTCCTCCAAGCTCGGGTCCTCTACCAGAGGCCTGGGAGCTTGAGGGTCCTGCAGTATCTTAGCTGTTCCCAGGACTGCGCTGTTGTTCCTGGGATCTGCTGGAGCCACTCGTCAAGCTTGGGAGTCATTGCACCGAGTGCTCCGATCACCACGGGGACCACTGTTACCTTCACCCTCCACATCTTCTCGAGCTCTTCTCTGAGCCCTCGGTATTTCTCGTGTTCCTCCTTCCTGATGTTACTGTCATCAACAGACTCAAAACCACAATAGAAATGCAGTGTGAAAAGTAACATTTTACCGGCATCTTCTTCAGGATCTTTTGTTGCAGTGTAGAAGCATAACATTGTCAGCCTCGCTGCCTCATACATATTGTTAATAGACTGTCAGGTGTGGTCAGTAAGGTGGTTCTGTTTAAAGTCGCAAATGTCAAACTATTTCAGATACCTTAGGAGATATGCCATCAGGAAAAAAAAAATTATTCCTGAAGAATATCTTTTAATCCATTAAGTGGCCATTTGAAGTTTTCTAGGTCCACCTCCCTGCTTTGCTCTCACCTGTCTGGCTATTTTCCCATCACTGTGTATCCATCCTGTCTCAACATTTCATGTTGCTTTTTGCTTCTTTGTCTGCCTCATTCTTGCATGTGCATGTCAGGTGCTCTCCTTTGAACTTTCATTTCTGTTTTTCATTTTCTCACAAAGTTTCTGCAGAAGTGCTAAAGTCCTAGTTTTCTTTTTGTAAGTGGTTGTTTGCATTTGCAGAAACTGAGGAAGGCAATTTGGTCTCTTTAGGAGATGCAATTTGCCAAAGTTGCATCGCCATCAATCTGCACAAAAGAAGAAAGAAAAGACAGTCATTTTCTTCAGTGCTTACACTGCTAAGCAATGTTAAGGTTAAGCTTCTTAGGTCACTACTAATGCCAGTAGGAAAGTACTGACTGTAGTTAGCAGAAAAGCTACTTTATGCAGAGAGAAATGCAATAATGGAAGAAGCGAGCTAAGGCCTAGCCTTTCAGTAAATCTGTTAGCCAATATGGTGTGATATTATTTATATATATATAT